ATATAGTGTTTGATCTATATAAATATATTTAAATAATTACTTTAACTTATTATCATAAATGATAGTTTAATTTCTAAAGTTGATTAGTTCATTTATTTGTTTGGCTACAAAAATTGGATTTTTGTACTCAGATGTTTACACAGATCATTACTAAGGCCAATGTTGATTTAATTTCAAATCATATATGTATAATGCTCGTACAATAACAAAACTGCAGACAAAGAATTAGCAGATATTTTTGAATTATTAGCGAATGCATTGCGCGCGATATTGACAGGTAAAACAGAGTTGTTAGTTTTAAATGTAGAATTTATATTTATGCTATTCAGCTATTCACATGCCAAGTAAAATGTTGTAGTTTAGAAATAGACTTCTTTGCTAGTTTAGGAATAAACGATCATCTCAATTTGCATTCTTGGACAAATGCTGAGTCCTTAGTCTTATGTGCGGCGTATCATTCCGTCATTCTGAAAAATAATTTTATGTCGCTCCAGATTTATTTTGAATAGCTTGATAATTCTTTTTGAATTATTAAAAAATAATAGCAGTTTATTGGTACATAAATAATTACTTAATTAATAGAGAAATGCAATTTTTACTTATTTTTTGTTTTTGCGATTATAAGTATTTACGGTAAAGGGAATAGGTAGGCATTCAAAATTAGCATTATACTACTTTCTTTTGAAAGATAAGACTGTCTTAGGGTGTCATGGACAGGCTCCAAGTTCCAAGCACTTTGTCTACCTTTTCTGCACCCACTCCCGTTTGCTGTTTATGCCATCAAATCAAGGAAGAGCACACACACACACACAGCAATTAAAATTTTCCATTTCATTCAACTGTAAACGCAAGAAGCGATGCCTAAAAAGTTTCATGCTCCCGTATTCGGCATTATGCGTTGCTTCGATTTTGTTCTTGTTGGTGTTTTTCTTTTGCTTTTCTTTCACTGTGATTTGTTTATTTGAAGTTTGCCGAAATGAGAAGTTTGCCTCAGTTACAACTGCCTGGGCCACGAGCAGGACCACCACCACAACCACCGCCACCAACGCGCCACAAGAGTGCTAAGCTTCTTCTGTGCTTCCCCAATTCCCGCAATACCCCCAGATCCCCAATACACATTACGAGTGCGCTCATTTACACTGAATTAAGTTTATCATAAACATAGCAACCAGCCTCGGCACCCTCACACCATTCGTCCTTTAGTCGAAACAGCTCAAAGACCTAAAAATAAATAAATGCTGTAGCTATAAGAAGAAAAATTAAAGCGCCTGTCACTTGCAATTATTTTGCCGGTAGGCAGAACCAGCAACCAGTGCGCACCCACTACTCCACTTCCTTTCACCCACACCGGGCCTTGTACGAGTATAATAACCGAACCGAACAACCGTTGAGTTGTCTACTCTATTTGTTGGCCATTGGCTTAAATTATTAATCGTTTGTTGTTCCCAACGTAGCGCCTAATTAATGTAGAAACCGTTCACATTCAGTGACAGCCTCAGTCCAACTCTGAAGAGTTGTCGATATACATATGCGTGATTTCAATTAGGAACTTGCATACATACAGGCAAATAAAAAACAAAGGGAAACAAAAGTATATAGCATATATACTTGTATATATCCGCTCAGGTAGTAATTGCAGTCTCTTGAGGTGCAGCTTTTCTCCTTTTAGGCAGCTAATTTTTTTGGCTAATTATGGCCCTTCAGCACGCCAAGTTTCACACTACGTTTAGATAAGGATTATAGAATCGTTGAATTATTACAAGTATAAATGAACTCTTAAGCGTATTTATAGAAGTAAATAACATTCTACTAGTACATCATTGCTATTAAGAGTTGATGGGATAGTTGCGTGTCTTTGCGAGTATCAGTTTCTTTGATATAGGATCCCATGCTGGGATTTAAAATTCGAAATCCAGTATCCTGGCCCCGAAATGTTCAACGGCTGTTTTAATTGCCAGCATTGTGAGTGCAGTTAGAAATTTGCATACGACAGAATAGTTCGAGGCACGCGCACGGCATCCGCTGACACGCTTTGCGGAAGCAACCCTTGCATGTGGCACGGAGAAATCAAAATAAAGAGGCCACCTATTCGTAGATCCTTCATTTGAATATTGAAATATATTGCAAACGAAAATACAAAGCGATGCCAATAAGGTTGTAAGCCAGCTGCATTTTATGCAAATCCGTGGCCGTGCAATTGAACTATTCCCGGACGACAGATGAAAGGGTTGATTTATAAAATTGGAAAATCATATTACAGTCAAAAACTATTTACATACAGTTTTTCTGTCGCATACGCTGTATTATATTGAAGAAGATTTTAATTTTACCTTTTATTTGGCACATGATGGGACCTTAAAGTTTTTGTTATCCTTAACCTGTGTCCAACTCCTGTTTGCAATTTATTTCGTACTTTTCTTTGAGCCATCAATAACCACTCGGACCACAAGAGTTTCATATCATCAGCCTATCCATTTAGTATTTGTTGTTAAATGCAGGCACATCTTGTTCAAAGCTCTTCAGAACGTCCCATAGGCATTCATGGATGTTAAATTTGCATGTTCGAGGCGACAATTCGACAATTTCGCTGCCAAGAACACGCGCTTCACTTGATGGCTGGGATGAAGACCCAACAACCCAAAGTTGGGCCCCAGGTGCTCGCACTTCACACACGCATTGTATTGTAATCATAACCTTTTTGGCTTTTGCCCATCATTACGAGCATGACCTCTGGTCGATAATGCTCTCTTACAAAAGTTAACCCCAAGGAGAAGCAACAACAACAACAACAAAAATGGAGAAATTTCAAGTGCATGTTTGTGGCATATCTGCTTGATTTTTCGTTTAAAATGTTTGCCAAAACAACATTTCATTTTCGCATTTCTCGAAAGGGCCTTTAAGCTCCTTTATTTTTCCATCTGGCTTTGTCGCATTTCAAATTGATTGCATTGCTTACTTATGTACTTTAAGTTTTATGATGCAATTACAGTTCTGCTGGCATTTCAACCTCTCCTCCTCAATTTTTAATTACTTGAGAGCCTTTTATTTAAGCCTACATTTTGATAACAATTCATACCTTTTTGGCATGTCCTTGACTCAAGTTCTAGCAGCTCCAGCTGCCAACGGGGCCTTCTTGTTAATGGCCTACAAAAATACCTGTACAGCCCTCGAATGTGTCCCCTTTGTCCGACTGTTTTAGTGCCACGCCCAAGCGCCAACTGCCCCAACCCTCGGCCCACTTAATGATAAAAGAAAGGACATTAGCGGAGCGGTCCGTGTACGCGCATCTTCTTCACATCTAGAGCGCCTTTCAAGTGAAAAAGCAAAGAATTAAAAAAATTAACAAAAAAAGAAGTAGAGAGAAGCGCAAAAAAGCGCCCCATCATGGGCTAACAGAAGATGGAATGGAAAGCGAAGGAAAGGGGGGAAGGGGCAGCCAAACGCAAAGCACAATGAAAGCAAACTGTGGCACGCGTAAAGATTTCAGCCCCCGCTTGCCATTTATCAAGTTGCTTTTATTTTCGTGCGCATCTTGGGCGTAGTTAAAAATTAATAAATAAAATTAATGCCGACGACACTTTGCGCGAGCAACAAAAAGAAGAAGAGAAGAAAAGTTGCCAAGGGTTTCCTTTGACGAAGCCGGACACTGGACGCTGCAAAATATTTTTTGCCGAAAAGCAGCGCCTAAAAGTCGATAATGCTCGGCGCTGACAGCTGCGTCGCATGAATTTAATTAGTGCCGCCCAAAAGCAGGCAACACTTTTTGCCAAGCCCACTAACACAATTAACTTCAAAACAGCGCAAATGCAAAATGAAAATCTCGGTAAATTCATCTTCGTCTCAGGCGGTGATTAATCACGACAAAGGCCCAGCAAACTACGTGCCTCAGAATCTGGTCCATCGAACAGGTGTAGGTGTAGCTGCAGGACGATAGCTGCACGATAGTAGGTCTCCATCCAGCTGCTTTTAAACTGTCCCCCCGGCGACTTGTGAGTATGTGAGTTGGGCAAGGACGAAAGTGCCCCGAAAACTTTGCGCTTAACATGCAAACTGTGTGAGCTTTGTGGCGGATTAAAAAGTTTGCCCAAATGGAGTAAGGCGGTAAGCGCTTTTGTCCAAATTAGCGCGTGAATGGCAACTGTACCTGTGAAAAATCGCCTTGGAAATATTAAGTACGTGTTATAAAACACTGGCGATGCCACAATAACAGTTATTGGATTTGGAAAAGTCTTCCATAATATAGCAACTGTATTTAACATTCCATGCGAAAAATTCTAAATTCACAGAGAAATCTTAGGAGAAAATCGAAAAACCTTTAACCCTGTCTCTGCTTTGAGATCAAATTAGCAAATGATGTCTAAGAGCATCATTTTTCTGTTGGTATAGGAAACGAAAAAACAAAAGTATGTTTTTTTAAGTTCCATAATATAGTTCATGAATGAACTTATTTCTAAATTATCAACTGTTTCCCTGCATTATTAAAGGACTACATATATTTAATTCTAAAACCAGCTTTTTGAGAGTAAATCTGGAAAATAGTTAATCTTATCTCTGCTTTAAAATCAAATTAGCGCACCATTTTTTTATCAGTATTAGAAGCGATAAATCAAAAATGTATTTGTTTCAAATTTTCCTCAACTTCATATTACTACAAGTATATACATAGTTTATGAATGAAAACAAAAACTAGTTTATCAATGTTATTAAAGGACTATATTAGGGGTCATAATCAAGTCAGTATCTAGTGTTGTTCAGACTTCGTTTTGTCACCAACATTTGCAGCGAAATATGTTTCTATTTACTTCAAAAAGCCATCTTCATTGCAGTAACGTTTTGAGTTATTTACACATACTCGTATAGTACATAGTTAGGAGAGACTGTTTGTAGATAAATAAGTGGTTTTATCACGAATTAATATTGCACACATATACGCATAAATACGTATATATATGTACATTCCATAGACATATTTCACTTTTATTGCATTTATGGCAGTTATATAAAAAAATCAACTCAAAAAAAGAACAAACTTGATATTAACAGACTCAGCTGCCCAGTCTTGGGTCTATATCCAAAATGCCGCCGGCGGGAATCTGTGAAGCAGGACGTCTAGGTGGGGTTAGTAGCGGCAGCTGATCCAAGATACCACCAGCAGGATTCTTTGATTGGAAGCTGGGCTCAAATATGCTTGGTCCTGGCACGCCGACCGGACTGTTTACAACGGTGCGACTGGGCGGAAACATTTCATCAAAAGTGGCCGTGGCCAGTATTTCGTTGGCCACTTCTAGGAACTTTTGCGACAATCCGCGCTCCAGACCGGGCACTATCTCATTCATATATAACTTCTGGTTCTCATTGATCAGGGTATTGCCGACATCTCCCAATATGCGATCACCATTGAACAGGTTGTCCAGATGCAGCTTGAAGTCCTTAAATTGAATACGCATTGACATTTTGGTGAACTTGATATACTCCTTGCCATTCTTCAGATAGCGCGCGCCACGCATTTTGACAGAGGCCTTGGCATTTTCTATAGAACAAATAACCAGGAATAAAGCTGAGATTGTAAATATAAAAATCTCGCCCCACACTTACCGCAGAAGCCCCGCATGTTCCCCTTGCCCTTGATGTCCAGGAGCAGCAGATTCAGACGCATGAAGTATTTGCCCTTGAAGTCAATGCGAGGCAATGTCAACCACAGATCATACGAAATTTCGTCGGGTTTTGCACTGGAAAAAAAAAGACAGGCGTTTCTTAAACTGCAATTCACTGGAGAAGTGCGTCTCTACCGCGATCTTAAAAGCAAATCATAAACATCACACACACGAACTAGTACGTACATTAATCGATCTATGACGAAATTGCTGCCTCCAGAAGCCTCAATATCCGTAAAGACGGCCTGGAACTGACTGCTGCGCCCCACCTCTATGTTGTCCAATGCGAGTGGCTCCAGCGGTGGGGTCGTATAGCCATCGCCCAAGTTTCCATGCGCCAAGAGGGGTCGCACCTGGTAGACGGCAGCAATGATGCAGCGCTCCAGCTGGGGATCATCACGTGCACAGGGCGTTATGCTCGACGCTGTCGCGGATAAATTTAAATAATAATGCAAAATATGGGTTACTACTTGTATACTACTACGACTCGTACATAGCTTGCTACCAAACTTAGCAGCAACCTTGCCCAAGAACGTGTCGTTGTCAACGCTGCCATTTGCTGCGTTTGCGATTCTTAGCAGAGGTCTTGCAACCACAGTTTATGTTTTTTGTATTTTGTTTTGATTTTCGTTTTTTATCAACCTTCTACGTTTTGAAATTGTACAAATAAAACGAAATTAATATTCGCGTCAGCTGCAGTAGTTGACTTCACCTTAACTTAGGTCAATAGCTTTGAGCCACAACTTAAATCACTGACCACTACAATTGTTGTAAACAAGAACGTTAGACGAATTGTTAATAAATATAAAGGATTTTCAATTCAAAGTCAACCGGAAGTGCCTCCGCTTTACTGAATTACAAATAAATCGGTAATGGAGTGACAAAGCGACGAATATATATTCAGCCCGAGATCACCAAACACTATACAAAATTTCAAGTTCTTCACAAAATATTGAACAAAGTCTAACACAATTTGAATGGTGTAATCAAAAATATTCCCCACAATTCATTTATTTGCACTCTTCTTTATTGAATCTGGTTGAACTGAAGAGCAATACAGGTTGCAAATTAATCTTTGATTAAAGCATTGACTGATCTTTACACATTTCCACACTCTACTTACGCAACTTGGCCACTGTGCAGTGGCAGATGGCCAGCAGTGCCAGCAATTTAAAGCACCAAGTGAACATAATCGCGGTATGGGTCTTAAGAATTATTTCAGTGATGGGCCGATCCTCAACCGAATCTCAGAGCGACTGCTGCAAAGTAACTACCGTTGTCGCTGCGTGGAAACGATCGACTAAATTTTTGTCAAGACGCACGCTGGGATTTTGATTAAATTAAACGATGCCTACTAAATCGGCGACGACCGCCTAACCGCTCAGCCGCTGACTAGTATGTCGACGTCTGCGTCGAAGACGACGTTGACTGCGTCGTTGGCGACATTTTCGTTGCTTTTAATGAGCGAGTGCGCCGAGTAGGTGCGCAGATACTTTTGTATCTATTGGAAATTAAATGGCCAGCGCTTTGGCTTTGGCCCTGGACACGTGAGCGCGTCTCGCATGTAAAGTAAAATTTATGTAGTTTTAAGTGAATTAAAACAAAGCACACACGCACACACACACACACACTCAAGTCGCAGCATTTGCTTGCGCCTGTAATGCTTAATAATAAATGCAGGCAAATCAGCAGCACAAATTTGAATAATAAATTTGGCGGGCACTCTCATGGGTGCGTGTGAGGGGTCCAGTCCATAAATAGGGGGGTGGCGTTGCTGTTGGCAGTTCAAAACCAAACAGTTGTTAAAAATGCACGGAAATGGTGACAAAACTAGAGGGCCACAAGGAAAACAAAATGTTTATGTTTTTCTCGTGTAAATTGCCAATGCGCTAACGAAGCGCAAACACAATGGAAATCAGGAGTGGTGGCATGATGAGCAGCTCTAAGAACTTTCAAATCGTATCTGCGGTCATCCCAGGGAGAACATGAGAGAATAGTGCTGAAAATTAAAGCTTGCGAACTGAAATCCATTTAATGCTGATTAACTAATTATGCTATTCGCGTCGTAATATATTTCCATTTACTTTAAAATTGTAACTGGCTTTTTTTTCAAATTTATATTAAAAGAAACTAAATAAATATTGTAAGGACTCCCCGTGATGATCACCAGAACGGGATGGCGAGGGTAGAATAGGAAAAGAAGAGATTGAAAGAAGGTTTAGTTTTTGAATTGGCCGCAAAGGCAGAAAGAAGTGTCTTTTAGTGAAGCGATATTGTTGTTATATTATTAAGTATTTTGCCAAGTGCCATTGAGGACCTGATGTTTTCCCCTTCCCGATTAGAAATTTATTATTACCTTTCTTCCAGCTACTCTGGCCGGCAAGTATACTCGAATTAGGGCAACGTTTCAATATCTCTAAGTCAATCAATTTAACTTTAACTTTATTGCAGTTCTTACTCTTGTAATAAGTTGGTTATACACTGTCTGCTGAAATGTAAAATTGTTATTCTAAATGGGTTTTATCTGTAAACTTCACTATATTTTTTAAATATCAATGGTTATTGCTATGGAATATTTCCTGTTGCTGTTGACTCCTTTCCCTTTATAGCCAGGTACCATTGTAGAATTTGGAATTTAGATATCGGTGCCTAGTTTCAACATTTTTTAGTTTGAAAAAGTTATGAGAAGCTAACGAAATCTATAATTTTTTTGTGAAAATCGAACACAGAAGTTGTTTTTCAAATACGAAAATCAGCCCTTGTTAGTTCCAAAATGTGTTTTTAGCATCTGCGACACTTAAAACAATATTTGCGAACTTTGAAATTTCTCAATAGATTTTTTACAACAATAGGCAATTCCGGCGACTGAGCCAACCAACCACCACCAATCAAACTACATATTCGTAACTACTAAATGGAATGGCCTTTGACTCGAACTCAGGGGGCCAGTCCTTTTCATTAATTCAATAACGTGAAAACGGAATGCTTTCATTGTAAGTTATGTCAGTACTCTGAATACTATTCTACTTATCACCCGGCCGTTTTGAACAAAATTTGTTTTTAGTTAGTTTTTAAAATATATATTTTATTTCTTTTTATTCGCAAGATCTTGACAAAAAATACCAAAAGACCAGACGCTATAGGTATGCGTACTTGTATAATGGAACCATGATCAAAGTACTTTTATTGCTTTCGCTCCCTCAGCTCATTTATAAAATCGTATTTGGAGTATTTATTGAAAATGCATCGTTGGTTCTTTCTAAACGAGCTCGAGTACTGCGAGCCTAAAGAGGGCGACTCAGCAGACGACCAGTTCAGCGTCGGTGATGAAACACAGGCTCCACCGGTGAAGGTGCCTACTCGGGAATGGCCCTTTTGCGTGACCGTTGACAAGCCCTTGGAGGGCAACGAGAAAATCGCCGTTACTGGAAACTGTAATGAACTCGGCAATTGGGAACCGAATAGGGTTGTCCTCCTGGAGAAACCGAACTGTCTCTGCGAGCAGCAGTGCACGTGCTGCAAGTTCGAGGGCTTGATTACCATACCTCGCAACATTGACATCGAGTATCGCTACTGCCTGGTGGCCCACGATCCGATTAGGAATCAGAGTATCATACGCTTTTGGGAGGTTCATATGCGGCCAAGAATCATTCGCCCGTGCCAGAACATGCTGAAGGATTGCGATCGATTTGGCTATCAGGAAGATGGCAAGTACCGCGTTGATCGCGGCTGGGCGACTACCGAGTCCATTGTACACTTTCGAATTTTCAATGCGCCATTCGTATGGCAATGTCAGCGACCTCGCACTCTTTACGTTCACCTTCAACCTATGTTTGAGGCGCAGCCCCCGGAGTGTGCCGAGTCGCAAGGCGATGCAGTGCATCTCACCACAGCAGAGCAGCTGTCGCGCATGCGCGGCGCCCACGAGAACGATCAAAGCCAACAGGTGGCCTACACTGAGGTGGCCCAGTTTGGAAACTCCTGCCCTCTGCAGTTCCAGCCGTGGTACGGGGCCCGCTGCGGACGAGAAGATCTGACGCTATACCATTGCGCCATAACGGACTTGGAACACACTCTTTATCGCTTGGACCTGTACACCTTTTCGCAGAAGGGCAGTGGCGATGAGCCGCCGTATCACTACGGCTACGGATTTGTGCAGGCCAACCAGGTGGTGGGCACAGAGGGTTTTGTGAAACTACCCGTGACATGCGCCTCCACCCATCGTCCACTCATTGAGATGAGTCTGAGCTATATGGTCATACGTCCGATGCAGAACTATCAGTGCGATTTAAGCATAACCTATGAGCGCTACTGGCGGCGCTACCATCTGCCGCTTGACATCGGACACCGGGGCGCCGGTACCAGCTATTGGATAGGTGCGAACTTGCATCGGGAGAATACGCTGTTCGCCTTCAAGCGGGCCATCGAGCACAACGCGGACATGGTGGAATTCGACATCCAGCTCACGAAAGATGCCAAGGTGGTGGTCTATCATGACCATGTGCTCCGATTCCTGCTGGGACGCTGCCCTGAGTATGAGGAGCTAATGGACGAACACGACATGCTCGTCTTTCCGTACGAGAAACTCAGTCGCTTGCAGCTGCTGCAAATGGGCGGAAGCAGGCGCAGCGGACACATTGCCATGCCCTTTGACGCCTTCAACTATGACCAACTGAAGCTGGCCCGCGTCCTCCGTTTCACGGGCAACGACGGCTGCGAGACCTCTTGCGAGCGTATGCTGTACGAGCAGTCGCCCTTCCCGCTGCTGATTGACTTACTGCGTACCGACTTTAATGACAATGCGCTACCCGAAAGGTTGGGATTCAACATAGAAATCAAGTGGCCGCAAAAGGACATTACTAAGCGTTGGGAGGGCGATGGTTTCAAGCCCAGTTTTGATCGAAACTTCTTTGTGGACACCATTCTGGACATTGTTCTTGTGCATGGTGGCAAACGTCGCATCATGTTCAGCTGCTTCGATCCGGACATTTGCACAATGTTGCGCTACAAACAAAATCGCTATCCGGTTTTGCTAATCACTCAGAATCCGGAATGCTCAATGCAATATTTGGATCAGCGCGTCAACACGATGAGCAATGCCATCAACCTGGCATATATTCTAGAGTTCTTCGGCCTTGAATTGCACACGTATTCGATTTTGAAGCAACCGACGCTGATCGCCGTACTGCAGGATCTGAAACTAAAGGCATTGGCTTGGGGTGCGATGAATGTGGAGGCAGATGTTCGAGATAGATTGAAGCAGTGCGGCGTCATTGGCGTCATTTACGATCGCATCGATCAACTCGATCAGGCTGGCTTGCAGATGCAGGGCATCAATCTGTGCCTTATAGATAGTGCAGGCTTGCGCCCATATATCGACGCCATAGAGGTAGCCGAGTGGTGGGCCAAGTGCGGCTATCGACCACCTACACCCGGAAACACCAGAGACAACAGTATCTGAGAAATTCGAGCTTTTACAACACACAAGCACACTACTTTGGACCTCTTCTGTCGTTCAATTATTTTAATTTTAAATTAAATTGCAGTTAATAACAACAAAACCACACTAATCTACCATACGCAAAAATACAGCAACTTTTAATATACTAATATAAAATATATGTATATAATACTATATTATAGATATATGTAATTATTAAAAAATTACAAAATAATGATAATTTTTTAATTTTATTCATTTGCTCAAAATTTAATGATTATTTTTGAGTTTTACTTTAAAATTAGCCAATAATCGTTATTGATAATTTACTCATCAATAATGAAGAAAAAAAAACATTAAATAATGATTATTCTTTGAGTTTTATTTTTTGCTCATCAATAATGATTATTGATTATTTTTAAAATAAAACTCCAAATTAATCATTAAATTGTGAGCGAATGAATAAAAATTAAAGTTTATAAATCATGGTGGAAATGCATAGATAACTTTAAAAAAATTATATCTGTAAACTCCACGCTTTCTCAAAGTTACTAAGTGAATATAAGTGAATGATTTTTTGGTTTAAAAAAACAAAATCATTATTTGCGGTCCCTGACATAATTCGATGCTCCTTTAATTTGTCTGTGGAATTTCATCATTTCCTTTTACAAATTTATTTTGTTGGTATACGTGTTTGAGTTAGTGTATGGTTTAAAAATATATATTATCTTATTAGTATTAATTCTTTGTGTACTCCTCCCCCTCGACGGTTTCCAATACTGTAGGCAATTGAAGGTCTAGCTTCTTCCCTTTCTTCATCATTGCGAGTCAGGAAGATTCGTCAGTGTGTACTTAGGTTTAATTTTCTCATAAATATCCCATCGTTTATTGTGGTTTGGCCAATCTACCTTAGAGTTTACCTGCACGAATTTGTAGTTGAGTTTGACCATAAAACTGGCGCGCCATGCATTTAAATGATGTGCACAGTTGCCGTCAAATGTTGTGCGAAGAGTCGACATCCTGCGAAGCGCGCGCTCTCACACACACACACACACACAACCCCCCACCACACTCCTGGACATTGTTGCGCACAACTTTTCTTTTATTTATGCCGTTTTGAAGAAGATAGAAACACATCAAATTTGTAACAAATTACATTTGATGCATGTAATAAAAAAAATCTAGCACAGCTGGAGCAACAAATAGGCGGCTGCCCGCCCGCAACAGCTATATTCACACCGCATTTTGGCCTAATTAAGTTTTCAAGTGCAATAAAATGATGGCCTGGCCGCGTGGGCAACTCGGCCAGCAACCGACCCTTGAATTGGAGGATTGGGTGTTTTTTTTTGTTTTTTGTCTATTGCGTGTGGGTCGCACGCACATCAAATTTTGGATAGAAGTACATAAAAACACAAGTTAAAAACTTAAATGGATGTGCCGCTGCTGATGCTGATGGTGCCGATGGTGGCGGCACACGCGTGGCTTAGAATACGCATACTACATAGACATAATATGTTTGGCATTTCATCACAAATGTATTTATTTCTTAGCTGGTCGGCCACGCCTACGCTTCGGTTGTGATTCCTCCACATCATTGCTAAGCACGCGTCGTCGTCGCTGAGACTTGGGGGGCGGTACATCCTCGGCTTTCTCTTGATCTTCGGCCCCATCACCTTCATCGGCTGCTTCCTCATCCTCCATTATCTCAGCATTGCTGTCGTTTTCATCGCTTTCTTGCACCTCCTGCTCCTTGTCGTCAGGCTCGTCCTCGACCTGCTCATCCAGATTGCTGTCCAACACTTGAATTTCGTTACTATGCGACAGAGTGCGTTCAATGGCCGCCTTAAGATCCGCCGTCTTGAATCGGAAATCTCGCACAGTACCAAAATGCAGGTAATTCGCCAGCCGATCTTTCGTCTTCTGAGAGAGCACTATGATGTGCTTGTTGAATTGCTCAATGGACAGAATGACTTTGGGTATAAGTCTCGTTTCGCGCAGAACTTTTGCCTTATCGGCCTGCGGATTGCGCTTTGTTGATGCCTGCTCGTCCAGCACATTTGCCTCCACATAAACAATAAGCTTGTAGACATTGGTGGGCAGCGGTCGCCCCACGACGCTTATTAGGAATTCGATTCTGCAAATAAAAATGATGAGAATTTTAGGACTTATAATTTTTTTGAATGGAACTAGATTAATCTTCTATTCTGTATGATTAAATTGTAATAGTGTATAAAAGATAAAATAGAAGGAATACTACTTACTTGGTGCTCTTGATGGAAATAGTATGATTAGCGCAACAGGCCAGACAGTGCTTAGTGAGATTGCTGAGGCAATTGTAATGCTGTATGAGCAGACGCATGAGCCCGTCTATAGAGGCACCGAGAGGTATGCAAACACTCGTCAGGGACTGAAGCGTCTGGGAGATTTGAATCAACTGCGTACAAATTGAGCGATCCAAGGAATCTAGATTACCACGCCAATAATCGCGATCCGACTCTGGAACAATGTTGCATTTGTAGTTCAAGTTGTTCGCCTTTACTATAAAATAGTCCACATCCTCGATTTGTTTGCGCAATGCTGCATAAAGATACTGCAGACAAGTCTCCGCGGTGGCTTGGCTAATAGTCTTGAGAAATAGCCCTCCTGACGTCTCGTCAACGTCACCATCATCATCCGCTTCAGTGCCTTCGCAAACCGTCCCCAAAACCCTACCAAGCTGCTTCGCTACACTGTCAAAAACGGCAGCCGCATGCGTCTTTTGTCGCTGCGTGAAGAGCAGACGATGGACAATACCCAACTCCCCGCTGGGCAGCTCGTAGGTACGACAGAACTGCAACAACCAGGTATATGACTCAGTTGCAGCGCGTTGCTCATAGTCTATGTGATCATAAAGAATCTCGAGAGACTGTAGCAAGCAAAGTGGTATCTGAATGCCATTCGATTGTTTCGAAAGCGCCTCCTCCGCGTTTTGTTCACTGGCGTCCTCCTGCATGAACTCATCGATTACGTCCTGTATGATATAATGTGTCTCCTTGGTTTTATTTATCGTGGCCATGTCTGTGGCGACGAGCACAAGGAAAAGCAATTTAAACAGTTTTTTTTTTACCGAAATTATATATTATTATTAACCGAAATAAAAACGACATATCTCCGCGCGGAGCTATGTCGTTTTCGAGCGTCATATCTCCGATCGGAGCTATGTCGTTTTGAAACGAGAGATATGTCGTTTTCAGTTCGGCGGAGATATGTCGCTATGCCACAACAAAGCGTTTTGGAACTCACCGAACCCTTTCACAAAATCGGAAAATCGTCTTTGGTACGTTTCGTTGGCTGTGCGTAGGCAGTTGAAGAAACAATTGGCGGCACTGACGGCTGTGGCAAAGTCAAAGTTGCGCCACAATTCAGGCAGTCTGCGAATGCAGCGCTCGTATATGAGTTTGGTAACGTCCGTTAGATGCTTCAACATGCGCTTGCTGTAGGCCAGCTGTTTGTAATCCGGCTCGAGGCGTACTTGTTCCACCTTTTGGGTCGTCACATCCAGCACATAACGCACGAGTTCAACATTGGATCTCAGCTGGGTCGTATGCTCGGCGTCGGCAAAGGGCACATTGTCACTGTGAAATGTGGGATGGAGAGGGAGAGTGTTTGGGCCATTAAGCGATCGATTAACTTACTCGTGTAGTAAATGCAACAATTTCTCCAATATCGCTATGTCCCAAATATTATCAGGCCGCATGTTGATGCGCTGCACCTTAACGCCATTTACGGTGAGATTTGCAATCGTTGTGTTGTTTGTATCGCCCAACTTGCCCCGCTTTTGTAGTTTTTTGGCCCCGCTTGCCATGCTTTGCAGTACGAGCGTTAGTTTCTGATGCTGCTTGAACAACGGCAGTATATGTCGAATGTTATCATTGGATTGTTTGGAGCTTAGCAGCAGGTGGGAAATGAGACCCTCGATAAGGTTCATTTGCTGTTGCAACAACACACACTTCAGATGAGTGGCGGACGAGGACTAAAAAGAACAAATACATACAATTAACGTCACAGTTTCTACAAAACAAACAATCCATACTGCCTCCTACATTATCTTCCAAGGGCAAGCGGTTAGCCACAATGCGCTGTATGCACAAATTCAACAGGCGCTTCATCTCACGAGTATCATATCCCGCTGGTGCGCGTTCGAATATGGCCAAGCAATTTGCCACAAACTGTACCAAACAGCCGAGATTGTCGTGGAGCTGCAGCTCCATGTGCTGATCGTCTTTGGCTTCCACTAAAAGTGAAAATCTTACGTTAAACTCGCTGTCCAAATCATCTCCCCCCTCCAATGAAGGCGACGTGTCAAAAAAGCTTCGAAAATGCCAGTCCACAAACTGAAGAACATGCGGCACGAGCTTGGCATTTAGCTCTACGGCCCGTTGCAAATCTACAATTAGAATTAGTGGAAAATATATTGAAGAGGCAGCTGGGAATTTGAGTCAAACTCACTTTCGTATAGTGTGCAGCGAATGTCTAACGATTGGCCAAAACAGCTGCGCAGCATTCCAATAATCTCCAAAGTCAGCATATCGAAGTTGCGATACTTTCGGTTCCGACTGTTGCTAAGTGTGCTTTGTGTCATCAGAGAGCAGCCCGAGATGCTCTGTTGGGTGCAATAGCCGCTAGCACCTTGTGTCTGACGCGCCGAGTTGCTAAAATTCAGCTGCTTTAATATCATGCAGAAACCATAGACTGCCATGAGTCGCGTGTGCACATCACTGAAGCATAGAGGGAAGGGAAGAAACGTAGATATTCACATCCAATATCTATATTGTATCTTAGGCTCAAGACTTGCCTGGAATTGATGGCCCTACGCAGCACTTCAATCAAAGCATCGCGCAGGGAATTTGAAAGTTTTAACAGCGGCAAAATGAAGTTCATCATACGCATTGATTGTTGGCCAGGCAGCTACAATATCAAAAAAGGATGAGCATTAATGTTCAAAAAAATTACTTATATGATCGACTCACCCATAGAAAATGGCTCATCACCGACTTGATGGTTTTGCCGCACTCGGACATAGTATAGGTATCAGCCATGCTCAGTAAGGCGAGGCATTCTGTAAAAAGACACAATAAACAGCAGTCAAATAAATACAAAAGAATATAAGAATGGAGTATTATAAGAAATCCACCCGAAAACTGATGCTGCTCCTGATCCACCAACATCCATTCAGCAATGCGATCGATAATGCCCTGACCAAAAATAAACCGCCTGCGTATGAACTTGCTCAGAAAGGTCATGGCCAGGGCATTTAGTGTGGGCGACTGCTTTGCCTTCAGCAGCACAAATGCTAGATTGATCAGGCCCGGTGTGATCATATCCTTGCCGTCCTTATTCTGATCAATAAGTACTTGGAACACCTGCTCTGAATCCACTTGCTTGCGTTGCAATGTGACACGACACCACACCGAATATTTTGCCAGGGCGCGCTCTTCCTCATTATTCTTGATGACGCTTCTCAGGAAGGGCAACAAAATGGATCTGGAGAGGCGCGCTGAGTCGGGCTCTCGATTGGCCGCTGTCATCGATAAGATGGCGCTCATCATAAAGGGTGTCAGTATAAACTCTGGCATGTGCAGAAAATTCTAAAAGCATAATAGAGTTGAGAGCTTCGTGAACAACAGTATATGTGTATGGTATAAGACATCCTACACGAAACATAATGGACAGCTGCTGCTCGCTAAGCGTGTACATGGTGCAGCAGTTCAAATGAAAGAGTATAGTCTCCTCTGCCTCGCGCAGCTCCTTCTCCGAGTAGCTGTCTGTGCAATATGTAAAAAAAAATTAATAATGAAGATTTTAAATAATCGGCTCCAGTGTTGCAGTACCAATGCTGTCCAGATCCGAGGAGTTGTTACACATATCGGCAAAGAGACGTTTGTAGTAGTACCGATGGAAATACTTTTCTAGCGCCAGCAATGGAATAATCAACTGGCCAGCGCTGCTACACATGGAAAACAGTTGAAAACACAGTGCTGGCAGTTCCATAGGCGTTTGTTCCTGTAGTGCACCGGCAAACTTGTTCAGCACCGTCAAACGTTCCTCATTACTGAGCTGCATCTCTCTGTGAAGGAAATTGTTATTCCAGAAGTGTCGTTCTAATCCTCACCAAACACTCACTTGAACATTCCCGCCAAAGGTGTCAGCACAGGAGCGGCCCAACGCATGGTGAATATTCTGCGCATAGTGGCATCTCGATATTCCTGCCCAGTCATAGCTATATCATTCATGGTGAGACGAGGCTTGACAGCCAGCACGGTCAAGGTCTGCGGCAACAAATCCTTCCAACCCACGCATTTGGCGTCGCCGATACGCATGTCGTGCAGGCAGTGATCCACAATCTCTCCCAGCTCATTTGTCGAGAACGTTGGAAGGTCCTGACAGAGGCGTGTGATCAAATCGTACGACTGTTTGTAGCTCAGCTCAACAGATCTCAGCTTCTCCAGGAAACTGCGCACACACGCAAATCGCTTCTCCCGTGACTCAAAATTATTAGGGTCGAAGCCAAGTAATAAATAGTTCCAAAATATGCAATCTTTACGAGGCAGTCGTGACGTCAGCGTATCCGTTAGCTATTTTTATTCAAATGAATTATTTCTTCAATTATTTCGAATCACAATTTTACCTTTTCAATACTTGTATTGCTAATCAGCTCTTGTAATTTATATATTTCCTGTTTCTCGCCCAAACGGAGCACTTGCACCTCAAACGCTATAGCCGACATGGTTATCCTTTCTTTACATCTGCGCAAAATGATTCAAAATGAGAATTGCGAAATAAGGAACTCCCGCCAGTAGCGCCAATCAACAGCTGAACAGCCGCTTTGCATCGTTTTACAGTACTGTTTTTTTTTTGTTAAAATCCTGCCACACTGTTGGGAAAAAGTGAAAGCCAATTGTGAGCAGTGCTGCCACTTCAGATTGCCGCGACAATTTAAAATTCATTTCGGAATTGGAAAAGGGCTAATAATCCAAAAATGTCTTTAACTTGCAATTGTCGTTGACTGCAATTTATTTGGAATTCAAAAAATAACATTCAGGCTACAGACAGGGCAGAAAGTTTGTCTTATGCATCACGTTGCTCGTAATTACTATATCTGCAAATATCGCTAGAGGAGATGTTTAATATTATTGTAAATAATCTTTTGCTTTCAAATTGTATTAAAAAGCTAACGGAGTCTCCAGAATTGATTAAAGAATTGTATTATTTTTTTTCTTCTGTGATTTAATAAATGATACAAGTCGAACGTCACAGGCTGTACCGCATATACAGATTCACCTGTGCATATACTATATTAATGTAATATGACTCAACAGAAATATTTCTGTGTGATAACTGCAAGCACTTTTGTTAGACCTACGGACATGCAGTATGTATAATATTTCCCTGCTGGTCTGATGCTCCCATTTCCACGAATTTAAAGGAATAACAGGTGGATTTATTCAAGCAATTAATTTACATATTCAATTGTTATGCGTATTTTCGAAATATTTGGTATAAAAGGCACCTGCATGCGTCCATTTACAAGTTCATTTTGCTAAAGCAGTTCCACTATGAAGCTACTTTATATTCTCTCCATGATACTTGTAGTTATTTTTTTGACTTGCTGCGCCAATGGATTGGTCCATTTCAAACAATTGCAGCCCGTTCGTAAGTTTTGATTTAAAAAATTTTTCAACTTATCCATATGATGCATATCATGCTTTTGTAGAGAACGGCTGTGCGGGCGAAAAGAGCGGAACAATTGATGTTGGAGATTTCGTTCAAGATCCAAATACTTGCGGCATCACCCTTTGCCATAATGATAATGGGGATTCATTGATATATTAGTAAGTTTTACATTAAACAGTAACCATTTTGTTAAAAATGCTTCCTTTCAGCTGCCAAATACCAGCTGGCTTTGAAAACTGCAATGACAATGTTGTAGATACCGATGTTGATTTTCCAGAATGCTGTTGGCAATGTGTATCAGGTGTAAACTGTAAGAAAGCTGCAGGATAAACAGGAAACCCGTTTTCCAACTATAAACTATGTACATATTTATACAAAACCTATTTGCAAAAATATGTTATTTAAAATTGGAATTTAACATACTATCTCTGATTTTCATAAAAAACTAGACAAAATCCTACATTCGATGCATTTTCAGCTTTCTACGTGCTGCTAGGTATCAAGTGCGTACGCTGGGGGAGGTGCAATTTCCCCACATAAATCTTTAGAAAAATTTTTCGCTATCTGAAGTCGACCATAAATTCATTATTAGGGCACACTATTTCGTCTTAAAATGGAACTGAGTTCGATTTTGTGAAATTATTCTGGTGATCATATGCATAATCTATTATTTCAACGCGTCGTGCATTTTTTAATTAAAATTATCTTTCATGCATTTCGGTTGAAGATGGCCTCCATTGTTTTTTGTCGCATTAGGGTCAATAAAATTAGCAGAACACTTGCTTCTCAACAGTGCATTCAAACTTTGATTGAACTATTGATAGTGTCGATGGATTTAACTATCGATAGTTTTGATGCTCCTGAAAACAGAGATGGACATTGACTAGGGATGTAAGTCGAAGGGAAAACATCGATGTTGATGTTCATCGATGTCTCTTTATAAAAAATCAATGCATCGATGTTTTACAAAATTAACTTTCCATAGAAAAAAAACTATTATTAGGGAGCTAGTCAACGTAGATGTTTGAAATAAAAAACGTTTGTATATCAAGAGAGACTGTCATAGCATTTTAGTTAATTTTGTTAATCAAAATAGTACTCGTAATATTGACTTTTGATGAACTTGTATTGCTTACTTCAAAAAACTGATTATGTACAGTTTTTAAAACAACAACGCGTTGCAGCTACACCACTTAGGCATATTAAGTGTGACATTACATACGAGAAAGAGATGATCAAATACTTAACAATCTAAAATTTATATTATAAAATACTCATTTTAACGAAAACATCAAATAGTTTATAATATAAATATACCTTCTTCGGTAGACCACACAAAGAAATGTGACCGCCAAACAAAACATGAATAATGTTCGATGTTTGGACAAACATCGATGGATTGACGATGCATCATTAGCAAAAAAAACATCGGAAAACATCGATGCATCGTGGTAAAAACATCGTCGATGCTCGATACATCGATGTTTTTCACATCCCTAACCATCCCGATTTCGTCCGTGGTCGTGCAAGACGACGTAAAATTAGGAAATACTCGAATAACTTTTTCAGTTTCTTGCACATCGTCTATCTTAAAACACTGAGCTATGCATATCTACAAAACCACAATGCTTATGTTAGCCACATTTACGCAAATTAAAATAGTAGAGAGAATTATAATATAATAAATAAACTCAAATTGTAAGCAAAGACAGGCAAGACCTGCTAGTAATTTACATTTTATTTTTGATTAAAAATGGTATTGTTAGATTCAAATCAAAAAGAAATCATGACACGAACTTTGTCCCATCACTAAGCGTAAAATTATCGGGTTGCTTCCACCTCTAGCCACCCCAATCCAAACAGCTATATTGTTTATATTAGTTCCTTATGATATTTCTCTGAATCGCATGGGAATCAAATAAAATTAATTGTATACAATTAATTTAAATAAATTGACAAAAAGGTCAACAGAATCCTACAAGAAATGAAAAATAATTAAACAACGAAGGAGATTAAAAGAAAACATAAACACAAAATGTCTTTAACAGTCGTAAAGTATCGCAAAACTCCTGCGGGACTAACGCCCACTATTGTGTATCGTCCGAAAGTTCAAACGCAAGCACAAATTATAAAGGTAACATGCTTATTTATGTTTTCAAAAGCGTTTACGAGTATTTTTTATAACACCACCGAGATTGTGAGCGAGATGCCAAATATGTGTATACATATGCCAACGCGCTTTTTCAGTATTGCGTAGCGTAATAAGAGTGTTGTCTAACGTGCCAGTGACTATTGTTGATAAAAATATTAATAAACATTTGACCAAAAAGAAAAAAAATTGATGAGATAAATGTGATTATATTAAAGTTATTTCTTCATGTTTTGTTTGGACTTCAAGCAAAGCTAATATGTCCTAGTAAAATGGCTGGGTTTTTGGTAAACTAAGATTATTACGCTCCCTTGCAACTTGTTTATCAGTGCATATTTTTTAGAAACCTTTTATTAAATTGGAGGCTGGTGAGGAGAATGCAATAACAAGCGTCACACCGGCCGGTATCGTAATAAACAAGATACCAGCAGAGATCAAGCCCAGCATGAAACGTGATCGTGTATCCACAACAACAACAACAGGAGTTACGGGTAAGTAGAAACGTGGCGTAATTACAACATGCAAACATAAATACAATTTTGATTTACACGTGCTTTGTGGTTAATGTAATGTCTTCTATATATTCACAGCTCCACTGTTGAAGTCTCCCAAGTATATGCTGCAGACCAGCATCAGCAACATGCCTTCCTCCACAACATCCCTGCAATGGCAGTCTACACTGGGAGACATTAAAAAGGGTCATTTGGGGACAGCTATCTCATTGCCACCCAATACGATAATAAAAGCCACAACCCGACCAGCAGCAGTCGGAGCCAGCAGTAATAGTAGCAGCATCGGTAACGGGAACAACAATATGAATGCCAAGCAAGTGCTGAGCAATATATCAGCTGTGGCATCCTCCATAGCAAGCACCCTGACCTCATCTACAACGAGTAACACACCAGCTGTTGGCAGCGTGGCCTCTCCCGTACGGCAAACATTCTTCATAAAACGCGAAGTGCCGCAACGCACCATGCGCGGCATGACATTGAATTTGATCGAGAATAATCCGATGTTGCATTTGGGCATACAGCCCGATCGCTTGGCTCTGCTCAAGCGTACAATTTGCCGCACGGCCAATGTAACCCATCTGGATTGTTGCATTGCTTTGAAAAAGTTGCGACAGAATGAATCGTTTTCCCTGCTCGGAGAATACTTCGAATATAGCGAGGCGGACGTGGAGAGTATCTTTACACGGACGCTGGTCAAAATGGCACGATATTTGCGACACCTGATACGATGGCCGGACTCAAAGCGATACTATGAGCGACTGAAATATCTACCTCTGGCCTACAGGCGTAATCTGTTGCATATGCAATCGTTGATCGAGTGCGTTGAAACGGAAGTAAGCGAAACGTTGAACTTGGGCTGTTCCAGCTATAAATTCATATTGTGCATTAATACAAATTGTAGGTTTTTATACCCATTATCCAATATTGTTCGTTCTTATCAATTGCGAATCTTTTGCAGGCATAATTAGCTTTATCTCGAATGCCTATCGGGGTGACTGCGACGATCTGCAGCTGTTCGAGGCCACAAATTTTAAAGCCGCAATACCCAAATATCTCACATTGTGCGGTGAACCTGGAAAATCGGTGCCCCGGACGCACAGCAACAAATCACGTCGGGCGAAAGTAACTAGCAGCACTGCCATGGTCGATACTGACTCACTGACAGATTCAGCGGACGAAGATGCCGATTTGGAGTGCTCTTTTCCTAGTGAGGACCGGATACCGATAAGCAAATTTGATGCACAGCGACTGACCGGCTCACTGGCCTCCATGCAAACACTGAAAGTTGTCGATGGCAATCTGACATCGACACGAGCCCCCAGTATCCGAGTACCCACCTTGAATGTTCACGAACCGGCGTGTCGAGCCCAAATGCGTGATATGGTCGACGCATTGCGTCAGTTCAAGATGCTGGCGCATTGTGGCATTCAACAGGCGTCATTATTTAGCTATTTGAATGAAATGTTAATTGTGGCTGCTGCCTTAAATAATCTGCAGCGATAGCCCAATCTCCCGATTTCTGGTTATATGCAGTTGTTTTAATTCTGGCTGAATATTTTGTAAATCATGTTTGTACAAGCAAGTACATAGTTTAAGTTTTGAATAATATGCAGGAATAATTTGATTGTAAAGCTAATGAAACATTTTGATTCTTATTATTCTGTTTGTGCATTATGCTTTTTCTCTTATTAATTAGTTCATTTGTCGCTAAGAGAAACATACAGCCACATGTACATACTATGCACGTGTCCATACAATATTAGGTACGTAGCAACTATAACAAATATAAACCCAAACTTTCTCTTTGAAATATTTTCCTTTACATCACTTCATTTTGCATTAAATGGCATTAACAAAACATTTTCAGCCGCTCATGTGCAATTGGATTTTTACTTTCCTAAATATAAATGTTTTAAATCAAATTCAAACAAATTGGTAATGTGTATTAGGCGATACTTTTTTATTTATATCTTTTTATATTTATAAATGAAGAAACTTCTTAGGAAAAGAATAAATATTTAAGCGATTTAGCAAAGACGACTTGAAGTAAGGTATGGATGGCTTTTGTTAAATATTTGAACTACGTCGCGATTAATTTTTAAGTCATTCATCCAAATATATTTGTAAATAATTTTCCAATATGTTTTTTGGATGAAATGCTTATCTATGTATAATAGGTACGAGTAGTTATATAGGCAGGTCTAATCGTTCGTCTACAGTTTGGGAAGTACTGTGCAGCGGAGACATCAACCCGATGCTTCTGTTTGTGCAGCTGCTGTGAGAGTCGCGGAATTATTTTCAAGTTCAGTCGTTTGGGAGGTTATTGTTGTTTGCCGCGCCACCAATTGCCAATTAACATTTGCTAATTCAAGTATACGTACACAAAAAACACATGTATTTGAGCGCTTTTACTGTTTATCTTTATTTACTGAAAAAATATGCAATTTGAATACATATTTGCCAAAAACGCACATTTAATTACATATTTCTAATTGAAATTACAGAAAAACCAAAACCAAACAGGTTCTGTTTTTCTTTATACATAAACTTAGTACATTGGAATTGTTTTCAAATTGTGGTTCTTCACTAAAAAATGTAAGTTTCCAAATTATTATTTTTTAAGCATATATGAATACTTGGATACATTCGCTAAAGAGTACTAAATTAAATGTTACATTTTTCGTACGTTTTTCTGTTTTTGTTTTTAAACAATTTTGCTTTAAGTTTAGGCTAGAATAATTAAAAATTTGCTTAGTTAATAAGTGACTTGGCATACTAAATATGTATTTAAAAAATATGTATATATATTTGTTGTACGTATGGATAGCTGTATACATACGAGCGATTATCGCACTTCGACCTACGTATTTCGACATTTCTACGATACAAGAGAATCGTCAGCTACTATATAGTTCAAATGGAATAATCACATTAGGATTTGTGTAATTGGGATTAATGGTATTAAGTGGCAAACGTTCACGATTTCCGACTTCTCGTAATTAATACAGAAATACATATCCTGTCCAGACTGTGACATATTTTTAAAAAAAGTTCGTTTCTATTCCCGTTCTCATCTAGTTTACATTATTTCAAAATTTCATTAAATGTAAATCTTAGAGCGGGAAAACTGTAATCGCAGGCTTGTTGCCATTTCCGATGGCGGTGGAACGAAATGCCAGCAATTAATAAATATGTATACTTATTAGAAATTGCATTTCTCGGAATTCAAAACAAGACTGTATCATAAATATTACATTTTTCATGGCCTAAGGAAGTTAAAGTAGATTTTCAGCTAGTTAGTCGCTAGCTGTGAAACGTATTTGTGTGTGTGTGTGTGTATACTATATGTGTGCGTGTGTGTTTGTGTGTAAATTAATAACAAGTACAATGCTGGTTCCACAACCGGAGGATACTCTCAGAGCTTTTGTATGATTTCGAATTTCTTCTTCAGATCCACACTCTCGTTCTTTGGATCGTACTTCTTCTTGGAGGCCAACTTGGCGCGCATTTCGGCGGCGGTGAGCGGCAGATTGAGGCTGCCTGCCCGATTAACGGCCATTGTTGGGCTGCTGGGCGACATGGGCGACGTGGGCGTGTTGCCGTTGGTGCCGTTGGTGCCGTTAGTGCCGTTAGTGCCGTTAGTGGTATAGACATTGCCGTTACTGTTCATCGATGCCTTGGCCGCTGAGGGTGGTGGCGGTGTGTTCATTAAATTGTTGTTGTTGTTGTTGGTTATGGCCACCGGTTTTGTGCCATTTTGGGCTGCCATGGGAGGCGTAGACATGGGCATAGATGCAGCTGGAACAGCTCTGTCCACAACATCCATGTCGCTGACATTCATTGTGCTGCCACTTTGATTGCTGCTCGCGTTCGAGGCACGCTTCGTGCTCACCATGCTGATGCTGCTGATGTTGGCGCTGGCGCCGGGCATCTCCTGTTTGGTGCCCTCGTAGGCTGGTGCTGGAGAGCTGCTGCCATTGCTAACCACTGACGAGGGCGGCGATGCGGATGCTTCAATGGCCTTTCCATCCACATCGATGAGCAGCAGCCGCACCTCACAGGCAATAGCCTTGATGCGTGCCACCACCTGTTTGTGCGTCTCGCTGCCAATGGAGACACCGTTGACCTCCAAAATACGGTCCCCCTCCTTCAGACCTGCTGCCTCAGCTGGTGAATTGGCGTCCACCTTGCCAATAAACTGGCCCGGCTTCACCTTTTCCGAGTGCAGATTAAAGCCGTAGCCATCAAAGTCCGGCCGCTTGACTATGTGACAGACCTTTGTGACGCCGGGCGGCAATGTGGGCGGCGTGGGTGCTTTGGGCGTGGTTGGTGAGTTCGGTGTAGACATGGCGTCTGCATAAAGAAATAATAACAATAAAGAGCGAGAGCTGATTAGTTTCTCTCAGTTTCAATGTGCAGCGATAAGACTTCATTAAAATTACTTTGTTCATTTGTGTCGTCAACATTTGCCGATAAATTTCAAGATCATGTACATATAGTTTATATGTATGTATGTATGTATGTATGTATTTATCAAAATGGGCCAAGTGGAACGGTCTAATTTAGAAGCTCTTCGTCAGACATTCCTCAGCATTTCAGTGACACATACAAAAGGGTCAATAAACGCGATTAATTCGCACATTTTGAAAGAACAATTTTTATGTCAGCTGTATAATCATAAGTATGTACATGTATGTATGTAGTATAGAGAGGAAGTCGCTGCTTATCAAATGCTTAACTAACGTCTACCCATTACTATCAACACTAGGCAACATAAAAACCAAGAGAAGAAAAGGCATTTATCGAATGAAAACGATAGTGGAATTGAACATGATGGTCATATATCTGAAATGAAATTCAAATTCAAGTGCTGATGGAGTTCCGATTAAAAATAAAGCAAATCCTGTAAAAGTGGTGGACACCACTGTTCTTTACCGAAGATAGTGATCATGGCTTAGATTGTACCCCATATCAGCTATTAAGTAAATTAAATATTAAAATAATTTAGCACTTTAATATAGATACCTCCTCCATTTCAAAGAATGTGTGGGATACCAGAATAGGGGTGAACAGAAATAGCTTCCTTCCTAAGGTCCTTCTTGTTGCAATAAAACACTCAACTATTTGGCAATTTGTTTTATATTATAAAACGCAATCTTAAATGGGCCTCTTTTGCAAAATCAGTTTAAAAGAATGGAAGGTAAGGTTGTACACTTTTAAAACTATTTAGTTATCTATAGGAATTCCCATTACTTATTTATTTGTTGTATAGTTTAGGAAATTATTTTTCATTCGGCTTTGCACTTTTTATCAGTGGACTGCTTATCGAGTGCTCTGCACTCTTGCTTTGTCATGGCAATGTTTTTCGCCATACACATAGTAAGTAGTATATTGCCTAATATTTGAGATATTCCCATTCACATTCTCAACCACAGACACTGACCGGAAACGTCACTTTCAAGATCGACACCTTTCTTTAACGCGTGTATGGCATTATGGTATTATGAATTTCTATAGAGCGTGTACGTGTTGTTTACCTTTGTCTATAAATGAAAATATCGTTTCCACGCTCAGAGTCTCAGGCCCCGAAAAGCTCCGTTGAGCGGCGAACAAACATTGCTTTATGGTTATCTAAAGTGTTGTTATTATATTTTGTTGCTATTATTATTTGCTAAATATTGTTTATGACCGTGCCTAAACGTTAAGTTTTGCAGGCAAGTCGCCAATCGCACAGAAATTCCAAACGTATGTGTTCATGGGTCAGAAACAAATTTTTGACACGCTTTTAATGGCTAACAGAGAGTCGCACAAAACATCAAACCCAACGTGATTTTTGCTGAATTTTTAAAGGCTAGCCCACACACATGCACAACAAGTGCTTGAATATCTCTTAAAGACAAGTATGACGCAAAAGTTGTTTCTAAGTGAAGTGACGTGCTGTGGCAGAAGCTATTGCTGTTTATATAAGCAATAGAGGTACTTATATTAGTATTACTTGTATTATCACGGCTTTTCAGAGTATGTCAGCAGGTCAACACAATGGGAACAACTTTGGTAGAAGAAAACGCAATGCAAGGAAAAACTGAATGCCAAATCTTCAGAATGCATTCTTCGAGCTTACAAAGTTAGTTAGTTAAATAAAAATAATGCTTAGTTAGAATACATTGACCAGGGTGTAGCTAAAAAAGGATAATCGTGATAGACAAACCGAGAAGGCCTATAAAAACAGATCAAGAAAATATCACAAGTAACATATGAGTGTTAATGTGCAAATCTGTATTCCTCTATCTCTGTATTTAAATATCTGTATATAGTATAGAGTTGTAGTTGTCTTTGTTGGGAATTCATTGGCTTAATGATTCATCTTGAAGTGCAAAGCAAAAAGTGAAAAACATGTATAAAAGGTTGAGCACGTGAAATAAATGAGCCTGTCATGATTTTGTTTCTATTGAGTAGAGACCCAGCCTCAATACGTAGTATTACACAATGTGTATTATTTGTGGAATATTGTTATTTTTGCGGTTATTTGTCTGTGTGAGAGTGTGTGTGTGCCTGCCAAGATGAGCTCTCATGTAACCTTGACTTTGGGCCAACAATTGTTTGCCAGATTCTATTGTAAGTGATTTTTAATGAATCAAATAGACAATGAGGCACGGCACTGACAAAAAATGAGCACACATCAGGTATCATAAATAATTGCACATATACATTATTATTATTTTTTTATTAGGAAGCGGAACAGGCATTTGATAGAGCGATAAATAACAAAACAAATCAAAATAATAGTAATAATAATGATAGTTGATTGGCGGATATTGAAAGAATAATAAACTTGACATTAAATAAATATGCGTCATAAGTAGTAGTACAAGTAGTGGGTAAAAGTTATATAAGTAAATAGTTTGTGGAATTTTAGTTCAAATTATAAATTTGGCAACCAGCTAATCTTGTACACATTTCATTGTTGCAATAAATATTATAACTAATGTAAAATAATCTTATCTACTATATGTGTATTCCAACTGTATGATCTCATGCAACAGTTTCTATTGTTCACTTAACTCCACATAAGTTATTTGCAGTGAAGTAGAAGCTTCCTCTTTTCTTGATTCTTGTCTAATAATAAGGGACTACTAGACCGCATTATCCTTGCATCCATACAGCCAGGCTAATGGATGCTACAACATGGCGCGGATCCATTTGTCAAGTGGTGGGAGGGGAGGGGTAGGCGCGCATTTTATGACTACCATGTACAATAACTAATTTATTCATCTATTTATGCGACTATTTAAAAATGTTTTCCCTCCAACTTCAAGTGCTTCCTGCCCGCCTGCCCGCCTGCTTCTCATGCTGGCCCCAAAGCAAAACTTTAATTGAATTTGCAATCAAGCATGAAGTACGTACACAAGTTTTATCAGCAACAATGCTTGTTCCCATTGTTGCTGATGCTGCTGCTGCTGCTATTGCTGTTGTTGTTGTTGTTGTTTGTTTGTTTATTTAAGCGGTTTCTCATCATTAAAACAAATTAGCCGTTAGGTTACGTATGCAGAGTCACTGTCACTGTCGCAGTTGAAGCCGCTGTGCTGTTATTTCGAACAGAGAGCCTCAAATCGACAATCGACCAAACGACCAAACGACCGACCGACCGTGTTAAATAAGCTAAAAATTGTTAGAACTTTAGCTTCAATTCATGTCGGTCGGCATTCCTATTATTCGCCATATACTCGTAATCGTATTGTTAGACGAGCTGCAGCTGTAGCCTGGCCTGTTGAATCACAGCCACAACCACAATCACAATCACATTTAAAGTCACAGCTGCTTAAGTCTAAACGTGCCCGACTGCTCTTAAACGGAAATTTTGAGACGCGAAATAGCTGCGGCAGTATTTCCAAGTAAACTAAGTATAATTAAAGTTTCGTGTTTTCTTTTCTTCTTTTTTTTTGCACATGCTGGCAAGGAATTTAATTAGGTTTTAACCCAAATATTAGCACGTTTCGCTATTTGGTCATGCAAATTGAAGGTTGATAAGGCAGCCTGTGTGATTTTCGATTTGCCGCCAGATTTCAAATCTAGCCAAGTCGATGCCACAATGACCATAGGATACCCTCGAAACTAGTTGTTTAGAGGTGTAGCTTAAGTTTGAACTTAATGCATTTTTCATATCATTTAATCAATCTCTTACAGGGTTCTTTCTTTTCAATATCCGTTCAATACAACAATAAATATTTAACAAATACTGAAAACTAGTCAGCTTAGAAGTCTTCTAATGCATATGTTATGACCAATATTTTTAATCGAAATTTACTTAAAAAGTAACACCCTTTCAGTTCATCAATTATCTATGAATTAATACAATTTTTCTTCTGATCCTGCTATATTGAAAACTATATCTCACACAGGAAAGTGGGAAATATTTATTTGTGGAAGGCCTTCATTGCCTGCTTGTACGCAACCAAAAATCTATTTTTTTTATTTTGTTTAACGATATATTTTAAAGTGATATTAATTATATAGAGAATAAGCATACACCCTTTGTGGAAATATGCAAATCAGAGACCCATTGTGCTCCATTGCTTCAGAGTTAAATAAACCAATTTACTATATAGCTGCGGCATAAGTCAGATAAGCACAACAGCGATAAGAACTTTTAAGTAGAACTCACATAATTTCTAGAAAATAAAAGTCTAATAAGCAATTATGAGCGCATGAGCACTTGGAATTCATTCATGGTGGCGACTACTGCGCTATTTGAGTTGAGATTAGATGTAGTAGCAGTTGAATAGCCGTGGGTTCAGCCTTTTCTGTTTATAGAAAATGAGTCATTGGGCAAATGTTGGTGCAGTGACTAACTCTCCATCTCGATTTGTAGATGAATTAAGCATAAGTTAAGAATAAGCAATTGTATTTTGCAATGCAATAGCAATAAATTAATGAAAGTAATTAAATGCTTATTAATTAAATTAAATAACATAAGCTGACACACTTCAAGCTCCATTAAGCCCTTGACATTTTTATGTGATGTATCACAGGCCTTTTCGGAATGGCACTTATTTACAACTTAGTTAATTCTTATTTACACTGCTTTTGCCAGGTGACAAGGCGGAGCCAACTGCTGACGTCATCGCCAGTTTCAAGTGCCTAGCAGTGGTTTCTATAAAAATGCTTAAGAAGTCAAAACTTTCACTGTCGATAGCTGAATATCGTGGGTTTTGTTATGCAATTTATTCAAATCCATTTCAATGCCAGGCAATCACACTTCAAGGTAATTGAACTTCAAGGCACGATATGGAGATACAGAAACGCACTCGTAGATACTTTCGAACGCTTGATAACATTGGTTAATTGAACTTATC